AAATATACCTGAAATGTTTTAAATGGTGCAAAGATGACTTTAAAAGAATATCAAAGATGGCCGACATAAACCCTCAACATTATAGTACGTATGCTTCTCCCTTAGCGGAGAATTTGTTTACTGACATGGTCTTAGGAACAGAGCTCCATCGTTAAGTAAGGAGAGGCTGCATCAACCAAGAAATTCAGAAAAAAGATGATGCACGAGTTAGAATTAGTTCATTGGGGCATGAAGTAGGGCTTTCCATAATCATCTATCTCTATAATTATCAAGTAAAAAGACTTATAAAAAGATACTAAAGTAGCTGACAAATCTAAGCTAGTGAAAAAAGATAAATTATCGTAGGGTTGGAAAACTCATTGCTAATGTCGATAAGAGAGAAGCAAGTGAAGGGAAATATAATTCCTGCAAGTTATACCTGTGAATGTGCAAGACCAAGGTACAGCAAAAGTTGCGCTTACAAGATCTTGCAACAAATTACTAGACAACCATGTATTATGGGGTCTGAATTTTGAGATACAATACATCTTCTGGAACAGATTAATATCATAATTCAAGGGATCCCTGTACTATTATTATATATGGGATATGTACTGTATATTAGGAAACCCTAAATCCTCGAGGTTATACGGTTCCTAATGACATGTATTAGTGTCTGATATATGAATAAAAATCATTACATTCCTGGGAGAAGGGGAAAAAAAGAGTGCTAAATTTATAGGGGTCATAGATTGCCTGGGGGAAATACGAGACATTCTGGTGCGACCCAAGGAGGGGAAGCACAGATTAAGTTTATCTAAGTACAGATACACAAATACAGTTATACAAATTGTCACACATAGTAACACGTTTAAATTACCTAGGATGACCCAAAAAAAGTAGTGAAACAGAGTGACTTATTTCCATTGAGGTCATCAGATCAAGAACCCCTCACCAGCATCAAGAAATCTCCCTTCAGGGTATCACTGGAAGAAGTGGAGACCTAAATGAAAAGGTGAGCCAGGAGCAACTGGATACAACAGCTCTCACAGCAACAAAATTATTAGGGATAATGAGCTGTAAATATTTCAAAATGAGGTTCAATACTACATATTAAGAGGATAAGAAAACATAGCATAGTGTACCAATGATCAAAAGCTGGAAAATACGAACACGGGCGAGTTCCACGACCACACTATGAGAGTAATAAAAAACAGGGTGTACTGTGGTGTACAACCCCTCCCCCCCTCAACATCCCTTGACAAAACAACAGGGAACCAAAAGCAGATGTACAAGGACAACAAAATGCCATGATCCACATTTTGAAAGTGGTAAAGAATATGTAATAAAAACAAAGTTAAAGAGCCAGTAGTGTTGCAAACAAAACAAGTAGATAAGAAATACAGACCATACCCAAGGCAGACCAGCCCAAGCCAGCACAGGAAAGCCAGCTCAGGCCACCACGGGTAAGCCAGCCAAGACCAGCACGGGTAAGCCAGCCCAGGCCAGCACGGGTAAGCCAGCCCAGGCCAGCACGGGTAAGCCAGCCCAGGCCAGCACGGGTCAACCAGCCCAGGCCAGCACGGGTCAACCAGCCCAGGCCAGCACGGGTCAACCAGCCCAGGCCAGCACGGGTCAACCAGCCCAGGCCAGCACGGGTCAACCAGCCCAGGCCAGCACGGGTTCAACCAGCCCAGGCCAGCACGGGTCAACCAGCCCAGGCCAGCACGGGTCAACCAGCCCAGGCCAGCACGGGTCAACCAGCCCAGGCCAGCACGGGTCAACCAGCCCAGGCCAGCACGGGTCAACCAGCCCAGGCCAGCACGGGTCAACCAGCCCAGGCCAGCAGGGTCAACCAGCCCAGGCCAGCACGGGTCAACCAGCCCAGGCCAGCACGGGTCAACCAGCCCAGGCCAGCACGGGTAAACCAGCCCAGGCCAGCACGGGTCAACCAGCCCAGGCCAGCAACGGGTCAACCAGCCCAGGCCAGCACGGTCAACCAGCCCAGGCCAGTACGGGTCAAACCAGCCCAGGCAGCAGGGTCAACCAGCCCAGGCCAGCAGGGTCAACCAGCCCAGCCAGCATGGTAAACCAGCCCAGCCAGTCCAACCAGCCCAGCCGCAGGTAACAGCAGCAGCATGGTCAACCAGCCAGGCCCAAGTAACCACCAGGCCAGCACGGGTCAACCAGCCCAGGCCAGCACGGGTAAACCAGCCCAGGCGAGCAAGGGTAAACCAGCCCAGGCCAGCACTGGTAAACCAGCCCAGGCCAGCACAGTTAAACCAGCCCAGGCCAGCATGGGTAAAACAGTGCAGGGCAGCATGGGTAAACCAGCCAAGGCCAGCAAGGGTAAACCAGCCCAGGGTGAACCAGACTACACTGACACAGGTGAACCAGACTATAATGACCAGTCAACCAGATCAACTCAGATGGACCAGGTTATCCCAGGACCAAGCCAACACAGGTGTACCAGGTTATCCCAGGACCAGATCAACAGATGGACCAGGTTATCACAAGACCAAATCAACAGGTTATCACAGGCCCAGGCCAACACAGGACCAGACCAGCACAAGTAGATCAGGTTATCACAGGACCAGACCAACATAAATGGACATGGTTATCACAAGACCGGCTCAACAGATGTTCCAGGTTATCACAGGTGGACCAGTTATCCCAGGACCAGATCAACAGATGGACCAGGTTATCCCAGGACCAGATCAACAGATGGACCAGGTTATCCCAGGACCAGATCAACAGATGGACCAGGTTATCCCAGGACCAGATCAACAATGGACCAGGTTATCCCAGGACCAGATCAACACAGATGGACCAGGTTATCCCAGGACCAGATCAACAGATGGACCAGGTTATCCCAGGACCAGATCAACAGATGGACCAGGTTATCCCAGGACCAGATCAACAGATGGACCAGGTTATCACAAGACCAGACCAACACAGATGGACCAGGTTATCACATGACCAAACCACCACATGTGGCCCAGGTTATCACAGGACCAGACCAAAACAGGTGGACCAGGATACCCAAGGACCAGACCAACACAGGTGGACCAGGTTACCCAAGGACCAGACCAACACAGGTGGACCAGGTTACCCAAGGACCAGACCAACACAGGTGGACCAGGTTACCCAAGGACCAGACCAACACAGGTGGACCAGGTTACCCAAGGACCAGACCAACACAGGTGACCAGGGTTACCCAAGGACCAGACCAACACAGGTGGACCAGGTTACCCAAGGACCAAACCAACACAGGTGGACCAGGTTACCCAAGGACCAAACCAACACAGGTGGACCAGGTTATCCCAGGACCAGACCAACATAGGTGGACCAGCTTATCACTAAATCAGACCAACATAGGTGGACCAGGTTATCACAAGACCAGACCAGGTTATTACAAGACCAGACCAACACAGGTCAACCAGGTTATTACAAGACCAGACAAGAACAGGTCGACCAGGTTATTACAAGACCAGACAAGAACAGGTCGACCAGGTTATTTCAAGACCAGAGCAACATAGGTGGACCTGGTTATCACAAGACCAGACCAACACAGGTGGACCAGGCTATCCTAGGACCAGACCAGCACAGGTGGACCAGGTTATTACAAGACCAGACCAACACAGGTGGACCAGGTTATTACAAGACCAGACCAGCACAGGTGGACCAGGTTATTACAAGACCAGACCAACACAGGTGGACCAGGTTATCCCAAGACCAGACCAACACAGGTGGACCAGGTTATTACAGGACCAGACCAACACAGGTCGACCAGGTTATTACAGGACCAGACCAACACAGGTCGACCAGGTTATTACAGGACCAGACCAGCACAGGTGGACCAGGGTATCACAAGACCAGACCAACACAAGTGGATCAGGTTACCACAAGACCAGACCAACACAGGTGGACCAGGTTACCACAGGACCAGACCACCACAGGTGGAGCAGGTTACCACAAGACCAGACCAACACAGGTGGACCAGGTTACCACAAGACCAGACCAACACAGGTGGACCAGCTTATCACTAGATCAGACCAACATAGGTGGACCAGGTTATCACAAGACCAGACCAGGTTATTACAAGACCAGACCAACACAGGTCAACCAGGTTATTACAAGACCAGACCAGAACAGGTCGACCAGGTTATTTCAAGACCAGAGCAACATAGGTGGACCAGGTTATCACAAGACTAGACCAACACAGGTGGGCCAGGCTATCCTAGGACCAGACCAGCACAGGTGGACCAGGTTATTACAAGACCAGACCAGCACAGATGGACCAGATTATTACAAGACCAGACCAACACAGGTGGACCAGGTTATTACAAGACCAGACCAGCACAGGTGGACCAGGTTATCCCAAGACCAGACCAACACAGGTGGACCAGGTTATCACAAGATCATATCAACACATGTGAACCAAGTTGTTACAGGACCAGACCAACACAGGTGGACCAGGTTATTACAGGACCAGACCAACACAGGTCGACCAGGTTATTACAGGACCAGACCAACACAGGTCGACCAGGTTATTACAGGACCAGACCAACACAGGTGGACCAGGTTATTACAGGACCAGACCAACACAGGTGGACCAGGTTATTACAGGACCAGACCAACACAGGTCGACCAGGTTATTACAGGACCAGACCAACACAGGTCGACCAGGTTATTACAGGACCAGACCAACACAGGTCGACCAGGTTATTACAGGACCAGACCAACACAGGTCGACCAGGTTATTACAGGACCAGACCAACACAGGTCGACCAGGTTATTACAGGACCAGACCAGCACAGGTGGACCAGGTTACCACAAGACCATACCAACACAAGTGGACCAGACCAACACAGGTGGACCAGACCAACACAGGTGGACCAGACCAACACAGGTGGACCAGACCAACACAGGTCAGGGTGGACCGAGTGTGTACACTCACAGCTGTTTCCACTCATCATACAGACACGATCTTAAAAACCTTCACACTGGGGGACACCAACCATCATGTGTTCCCAGGAGTCAGGGCACCGTGTCAGGGGTCCCAGGGCACCGTGTGAGGGCCCCAGGGCACCGTGTTAGGGTGCCAGGGCACCGTGTGAGGGCCACGGGAAGGGGGGCGGCCCTACAGACGTGGCACACAGCCGACATATTACTGCCACATAACTTACTGTACTGCAGCCGGGGGGGTCCGTCCTAGAGTAATGGTGTCCACCTCAAGTGCTCCACTGTGAAGCTGGGGCTGTAAGGAGAGCAGAGAGAAGGAGATTAGTGTAATGGAGTGGGTAATAATGGGTATATAAGGTGGTGAGAGAGGAGAGAGCAGCTGCTTGTCTTACCTCGCTCCTGCTGAGTGAAATACCAAGGAGCAGCAGCAGCAGCAGCAGCACCCTGCTGCCACCTCCTCTACACCAACAACGATAATATCTCTCAACTTCTCCTCTAACACACATCTAATGTACACGTTGAATATCAAGTAATGTAAAAGAAGAGAAAGGAACATTGCATGTTAAATATGAAAGACCTGGGAATAAATCTATTTATTGTACATACTATGTATATTCTCGTACTTCATTTCAGAAATATATCTATATGGTGGTGTATAATTAATATAATATTATACAAAATATATTATACGTAAAAGGATAATAAATAAAGCTGGAAGAATTAAATTACTTATATAATAATATATATAAATGTGGCACCATAGGAAGGCAGTGAACTTTTGCACAATACTTGCCTCTTTGAGATTATATTATTATTGTCACCATTAATAGGTAACAAGATGTTCAAATGTATATGCTTACACAAATGTGTGACTTACCATGGAAATATAGAAATTTTTAAGTATATAGAAAGTAATGAGCGAAGCAGTAGGAAGCGTTGTCAATTATTAACATTATCGTGGTTGCTAGCACACCTCTAACAAGTTCTTACTCTTCAACATTCTTTACAACGATATCATCTTAATTTATCCCAAGATGCGGAACTTAAAATAAAAATAAAGTTCAAAGTTGCATAGAAGCGTTTTAAAATATTAAAACAATGGCAATAAATGTGAATATATCTCAGGACTGACAATGAGTTTCGTACACATCTTGCGCACGTCACTTACGTACACCTTCGACTTCATTTTCATTTATCAACTATTATCATTATTTCTTAATAAAAAAACATGTTTTTCATTATTATTATTTATACAGGTGAATGTTAAGTTTTATGTTATTAAAGAACAAATCCTCGACTTAAAGAAGTATATTTTCTTTGACAGGCGCGAGGGGTAACTTATATATCAGTGATTTCTTTTTCTATTGAGGTCCTTGAACATAAGAATGGAGCATCGAGCAGGCCTACTGGCCCATGCTAGGCAGGTTCAAAGCCTACTGGCCTAAGTTAGACTGGTACAAGTCACACCCAGTCAAGAAGGAAGAAGCACTGAAGCAGGTCTACTGGCCTGAGTTAGGAAGGTGCAAGTCACACCCACTTAGGAAGGAAGGAGCACTACGGCAGGTCTACTGGCCTAAGTTAGGCAGGTGCAAGTCATACCCACTTAGGAAGGAAGGATCACTGCAGCAGGCCTAGGTAATCTACACATATGCTGCTATGTATGATAATTTATGTGACTGAGTTTAAGTGTACCTATACTTAAATAAACTTACTGTCCAAGTCGGTCAGGTCAACTCACATCCACCCACACCCACTCATGCATTTGTCTAACCTATTTTTTTATAACTACACAACGTTTTAGCTTAAATGACGTTACTCAGGAGTTTGTTCCACTCATCTACAACTCTAAATCTATTTTTTTCTAATTTAAACCGATTGCTGCGAGTGTGTCTTTCAGAGGCTTCGAATAGCCTCGGCAATTATAGGTATCACATTTGCCATTTTCCACTTATCTGGCACTATGCCAGTTTGTAGTGATATGTTGAAAAGACTAGCCAAAAGTATACTAAGTTCCTCCTTATATTCCTCTAAAACTCTTGCAAACAGTTCACCAGGGTTCGGGGGATATGTTAGGTTTTAATTTATCTAGTCGTCTGAGAAGCATGTGACTAGTGACTTTGATCGTGCATAACTTATTTTCGCCTTGATCTACATAATTTATTACTGGAATTTCGCTAGTATCTTTCTGGGTAAAAAATGGGAGGAAATAAGTGTTAAAGTTTCTATACACTTTATCACTGTCAGTAAGCTGACCCGAGTAGCTTCTGAGTGTACCTCTCTTGTCCCTAATCTTAATCCTGTATACCTGAAAGAAAAGTTTTGGGTTAATCGTCGAATTGCTTGCGACTTTAACTTCATAATCTCTTTTAGATTTTCTTATTCACTTTTTATTTCACTTTTTAACTGAATACATATACTCATTTCTTAGCTCTCCATCTCCCCCTTTGATTCGCCTGTAAATGCCTATCTTTTGACCAGTGAGATGTTTTAATCCATTGTTTATACAAAATCTCAATGTACTGTTTGCAAAGACATAAAGTAAATAAATAAATAAATAAAATAAAATAAATAAAGGTTGCGGTGCGCTACACTGGTGCGGCGAGAGAGGATGGCAGGTGTGGCAGGAAGATCCAAGGGCAGTTTAAGGAACATTAAAACATTCATGTATAGAAACCCATTGAAGTTTGTAGATTTCATGCCATCTCTCTTTGTGTTAAGTGCAGTGTTGAGGACCAGCCTCAAAGAAGCGAATAAAGTGATCTTATTTTTTTTTTTTTGCATTAGTGCACCGCTAACATAATCGATTATCTCACCAAGTGCAGTTGACGACCAGCAAACTGAGAGATCAATGCAAGAGAGAGACTGAGTACGAAGGTCAAAATGGCTGGGATTACCAGTATTTAAAACACGGAGGGGAAGAGAAGTGAGAAGAGCCTCTAACTGATCACCACGGGAGTCACGGTGAACCCCCCCCCCCCCCGAGGAAATGATGAACATTAAAATCACCTAATAACAGAATAGGTGGCTGTAAGGAAGAAACAAGAAACGCAACATCTGGGAAAGATAATGCTCGAGAAGGGAAGAGATATAAAGAACATACTGTATAGGATTTGTTCAAGTAGATACAGGCTGCTGTGTAATGCAACGAGGTATGAATGAAGATCTGATGGTATGGTATACCGGTACACACAAGAAGTGCACTTTCATTAAAAGTTCCATCGGTATAAGGATCAGATGAATGTAATAAAACATAGTCCGAGATGGGATAGATAACAGCAGAGAGTAATTTAACTTCTTGTAAACAAACAGGGAAAAACTGGGAAAGCAACACCTGGACCTCTCCGCGATTGCCCCCGAAGCCTCGTATATTCCACTGTAAATAGGACATGATTTGCGAGAAAAGTATACTGGAAATATGAAACAGTAAGTGTCTACGGACTAGTAAGGGTATTAAAGTCTATGTGCGGAGGTAGTGGAAAACGAGTAAGCAGCTAAGGACCAGAACGCTGCGAACAAAAGAGTTGTGCAGATGGTTTAGACAAGTGAGGAGTATTCGGAGAGAGCTTCAAGTGTTACAGAGGACAGGGAAGTTGCATGTAGCACAACATCAGAGGTAGAAGGGAGAGAGTGAGTAAAGATCGGAGAGGTGAAAGAGGGGGGAAAGAAACTTGGGAGGGGACAGGAGAAGAGGGGACTGTACAAAGGGGAGGATGAACCTCTGCACTCGTAACAGAATTAGTAAGAGGTAAAGAAGTAAGTACAGAGACTGGAAAGGAAAAAAAATGTTTGGAAAGGCTATATGAAGAAGGGGGAAAAGGAGGTTTGAACTTTGGCAATGGTTTATACTTCGGAGAATTAGAGAGGCGAGGGGAAGGTGTAGTTGCGTGAGGTCTTGAAGACACAGAAACATGCGAGCGAAAAGATGAAGATTCAAAGACAGTATTAGGCGTCGAGGTAGGGACCTCGAAGGCGATAACTGCAAAAGAATTAGAGGTGACTGACGAAGCTGTGACACTAGAGACAGTGGAAGTAGGTACTACTGAGGCTGGAGGTCTCTTAGTAATTCTAGAATAAGAAAGTCGTGGAAGTCTCCACGGGGGCGATGGGAGACTGCCATGGCATATGTTAAACCTTCTCTCTCTTTGAGACAATGAATTTCCCGTTCTTTTAGGTAAATTTGGCAACGGCAGGAAAAAGCCGGGTGAGCCTCATTGCAATCGAGGCAAGAGGGATTCAGGGTGCAGGATGTATTTGTATGATCGTCAGCACCACATACTGGGCACTCTGTCATGGACCTGCAATATTTTGCTGGGTGGCCATAGCGCCAGTAATTTCTGCACTGTTGTGGTGTAGGGATCAACTCTCGGACTCGGAGACGGTGTCCCGTAATATAAACTGAGGACGGAAGCTCACGACAGTCAAAAACAAGCTACATTGCAGGGGTAGCATCTTCGCCCTCGGGCAGGTACTCTATACGTGTCTAATTTGAGAACTGGGAGGTCTTGGAGCTCAAGCTGTTCCAGAATGTCATCACCACACGTCTGGAAATTACGTTGAACAATGATATGAGGTAGAATGACGGTACCACTACAAGAATTGAGAGAATGGTATTCTTAAATTGTGTCAGGGATAGCATCTACTGTGCTAAGGAGAAAAAGAGCGTGGGCTTGGTTAGCATTTTGTACCGTGACAATGCGTGCACCGCTCTCAATAGCATGAAACGAAATATTTTGACCAACATGGTATAGGAGCGCCTTGCTGATACTATGCTCTGAAAAATAGTCAGCAGGAGATGTCGGTTGTAAAAAACTTAGTTCATTGTGTACTTTGAAATGTAGTGTGTAAGAGAAGTGAGTGTCGTGCCAGTCTTCTCTGGGCAGAGTGAGAAGTAATAGTAGTGTCATCAGTTTATGGTCTTGGTCGTTTAGGTGTGGGACCGGAGTTGGTCGGACTTGAGATGGGCGGGTGATCCGAGAGTCGTCGCACCATAGAGAGAAAAGCCGGAAGCATGGTCAAAGAAGTGCAGAGGCGATGATGAAGTGGCACCAGCAGAAGGTACAGGGGCAAATAACGAGAT